CTCTCCCGCCGGCTCCCCCAAGTCAGCTGCTGCTGAAACTGACCAGCGGCGGACTTGAGGAAGCCGGGGGCAGAGTAGCTCCAATTGTCCGGCTGGCTGGAGCTCTTCCGGGTTCCAGTTGGTGCCAGACTATCAGGAGTGCCGGACCACTGGATGCTGGAAAATTGGAGTTTTACTGTAATAAGAAAAGCAAACAAAGATTTTGAAGAACAGCTAGCCAAAAACTCAAAAAATAATAGCAAAATGTTTTTTAAGTACGTTAGAAGCAGGAAGCCTGCTAAAAAATCAGTGGGGACCCTGGTCGATTGAGATACAAAAGGAGCAATCAAGGACGATCAAGCCATTGCGGAGAGACTAAATGATTTCTTTGCTTCTGTCTTCACGGCTGAGGATGTTAGGGAGATTCCCAAACCTGACCCGTCCTTTGTGGGTGATGAATCTAAGGAACTGTCCTGGATTGAAGTGTCATTAGAGGAAGTTTTGGAACAAATATAAAAACTTAACAGTAACAAATCACCGGGACCAGATGATATTCACCCAAGGATTCTGAAAGTCTCAAAAGTGAAATTGCAGAACTATTAACTGTGGTTTGTAACCTATCCTTTAAATCAGCTTCTTTACCCAAGGACTGGAAGACAGCTAACATAACGCCAATATTTAAAAAGGGCTCTAGAGGCGACCCTGGCAATTATAGGCCAGTAACTCTAACATCAGTACCAGGCAAATTAGCTGAAACAATAGTAAAGAATAAAATTGTCAGACACATAGAAGAACATAATTTGTTGGGCAAAAGTCAACATGGTTTCTGTAAAAGGAAATCATGTCTTACTAATCTGTTAGTGTTCTTTGAAGGGATTAACAAACATGCGGACCAGAGGGATCCAGTAGATATAGTATTCTTAGATTTCCAGAAAGCCTTTGACAAGGTCCCTCACCAAAGGCTCTTGTGTAAATTAGGTTGTCATGGGATAAGAGGGATGATCTTTTTCATGGATTGAGAACTGGTTAAAAGACAGGAAATGAAGGGTAAGAATAAATGGTAAATTTTTAGAATGGAGAGGTGTAACTAGTGGTGTTCCCCAAGGGTCAGTCCTAAGACCAATCCTATTCAACTTATTCATAAACGATCTAGAGAAAGGGGTGAGCAGTGAGGTGGCAAAGTTTGCGGACGCTACTAAACTGTTCAAGATAGTCAAGACCAAAGCAGACCGTGAAGAATTTCAAAAAGATCTCACCAAACTGAGTGACTGGGCAAGAAAAAGGCAAATGAAATTTAATGTGGACTAGTGTAAAGTAACACACATTGGAAAAAATAACCCCAACTATACATAGAATATGATGGGGGCTAATGTAGCTACAACTAATCAGGAAAGAGATCTTGGAGTTATCATGGATAGTTCTCTGAAAACATCCACACAATGTGCAGCAGCAGTCATAAAAGCCAATAGGTGCTAGGAATTATTAAAAAAGGGATAGGAAATAAGACGAAGAATATCTTACTGCCCCTATATAAAACTATAGTACCCCCACATCTTGAATATTGTGTACAGATGTGGTCTCTTCACCTCAAAAAAGATATTATGGCATTAGAAAAGGTGCAGAAAAGAGCAACTAAAACACTTAGGGGTTTAGAACAGGTCCCATATGAAGAGAGGATAAAGAGACTGGGACTTTTCAGTTTAGAAAAGAGGAGACTGATGGGGGATATGATAGAGGTATATAAAATCATGAGTGGTGTGGAGAGGGTGAATAAAGAAAAGTTATTTACTTGTTTCCATAATATAAGAACTAGAGGACACAAAATGAAATTAATGGGTAGCAGATTTAAAACCAATAAAAGGAATTTCTTCACACAGTGCACAGTCAACCTGTGGAACTCCTTGCCAGAGGAGGCTGTGAAGGCTAGGACTATAACAGAGTTTAAGAAAGAGCTAGATAAATTCATGGAGGTTAGGTCCATAAAAGGATATTAGCCAGGGGGTAAGGAATGGTGCCCGTGGCCTCTTGTTTGTTAAAGGCTGGAAAAGGATGGCAGGAGACAAATTGCTTGGTCATTGTCTTCGGTCCACCCCTTCTGGGGCACCTGGTACTGGCCACTGTCGGAAGACAGGATACGGGGCTAGATGGACCTTTGGTGTGACCCAGTATAGCCATTCTTATGTTCTAACTGCTCCTGAGACTGCTAGGGCCCCATAGGGCTGGCATGGCCAACAGGGCTCCTGGCCCCACAAGGCTGCAGACTACCAGCTGCCAGCCCCATGGAGCAGCCGGCTTCCAGCTCCTAGCCCTGTGGGGCTGCTGGGGCTATTGGCAGCCCACTGCAGAGTCTAACTGTTAATATAAACTGATAAGCATCGGCTTATTGATTAACTGGTTAACCGGTTAAACTCTTAGGGTATGTCTACACTAGCCACCCTAGTTCGAACTAGGGTGGCTAGTGTAGACATACCCTAAGAGTTTAACCGGTTAACCAGTTAATCAATAAGCCGATGCTTATCAGTTTATATTAACAGTTAGACTCTGCAGTGGGCTGCCAATAGCCCCAGCAGCCCCACAGGGGGTATCCTAATTCGAACTACCATTACTCCTCTGTATTGAAGCATGTTCTCTTGGGTTGGCATGTTCTACTTCTCTGGAGGTGAGTCTTTGTTAGTGAAGATGGCTTTAAGGGTATTAAAGTTTACATCACAGACTTTCTTCTACATATTCTGTGATCCGTGGGTTTCTTGTATATAGTTGCCTCTAGGATTCCATTGTTGAAGCTGATTGTGGTATCCAACAAGTTGGCATCTACTTCCTGAGCAAATTCAAGAAACAAATCATCATCTCCGGAGGTCTCACCATCTATAACCTTCTGACCCCTACATGCAACTTCAAATATGCTGACCAGCTCTACTGAAGGACTGTAGAGAAACTTAAGAACAAATGGGTTTCACATGCTTCACAAGGGATCCTCTCAAACAAGATATTATCACATGACCCCATGCCCTGGAAGAATCAGGAAGTGCAAGAAACCCAAAACAACTATAAAAAACTTGATCACAGCCATCCAACACAAACAAACAAAAAGCAGAACAACTACGACAACTCCTCTACAACTTGCAGAATATCACTTCTGGGAAAAAAACATAGCACCAGGACCCACCACATGGGCTCTACAGAACACTCTAATATCATCAAGACTCTCTATAAGTGGAACTGAATTGTCTGTCCTCTCCACAGGATTGAACTTTTGCCCCTACCACAGAACTTGATATCTTACTAACACAAGGAGAACTAAAAGAATGCTTCAGCCAATTCCGCTTCAGAAACATTCTTTCACAACAATGATGAAACCACCCACAATAACCAACTCCCACCTTCAGAATTATCTGGGTGGACACTCCATAGCAAATGAAACTCACTCTTGATTATGACATTGATTGCTTCCAGACAAAAATTCCCTGTGAAATTCTTAACAAATATCGCGCACACCACAATCTCTTCACTGTAAGAGCACAGCGATAGCCCTTGAAATCCAGCCACCAGATAGTGATCAACCACCACCCATCCATAAAATGCTGTCTAGAACACTCCCACATTTTCATTGACTTTCTGGATACCACAATCAGCTTCAATAATGGAACCCTACAGCGAACAATCCATCACTCACCACATCTACCTTTCATTGACCTGGTAGCCACCCCAAACATACCACCTTCCAAAGACGAGCGTGGCAGTTTAAGTTGATAACTTTGCTAGACACTAAAAATCTTGGAATTAACAGGTGGGTGATGAGTAATGCAA